TCCCCAAAAATCACTGCATTAGTTTCCTGAGGCTTCCAGAACAAATGATCACCAACTAGGTGGTTTTGAGCATTAGAAATATGTTCCCTCATAGTTCTGGAGGGCAGAGGTCTGAAATTGAGGTGTTAGCAGACCCACAGCTTCTGAAGTCTCTACGTGAGTTCTTCCTTGCCTCTTCCCTCTTCATGGGACTCCTAGAACTTTTCAGGCTTTGGCTTGTACCTTTGCCACTCTAGGCTCTGCCCTGTCTTCACACTCTCCTGTCCATTTATGTCTGTCCTTTCTCCTCTATTAAGGCCAGCAGTCTTTGGATTTATGATGCACCCCTGGCTCAGGGTGCACCATCTCGAAATCCTTAACTAGTTACATCCCCAAACTAGTTACATCCTCAAGCTAGTTACATCCCCAAACTAGTTACATATCCAAATAAATATAGTAATATTCATATGCTCCAGATGGTCTTGGAGTTTTGGGGAATGATATTCAACTCACTCTACTCATCATTATTTTTATTACATTTATTTTTTTCTTATTACTGTCATGAGTATCCTCATCAATGCTATTGCTGCCAGTCACCCTCATTAGCACTTCAAGGCAAGAGGTTCTGCCCCAATGTCTTAATTCTATTTGTCACAAGGGTTGGGGGACTCCACTATGCCCAGGTTTGCTATGATAAATGCAGGCCTCAAACATGGCTGCACTCATAACTGTAATTTATGACATAAAAGAAAGCAGAGCAAAACCAGCAAAAAGGAAAGACGCTCATCTCAGTCACTGGAACCTAATACCTGACATTCACAATTTCAGGGAGGCAAAGATTTTTGGGTTCATGGTTTTACTTTGTGCTTGGCTCCCTCCCAGGCAAACATGGCACCAAAAAGGGTGCAGGTGAGGAAGGCTGCCCACACCAAGGTGAGCAGCAAGCAGGGCACACAGGGAGACAGATGCGGAGGAGGGGGGAGATGCCCTTCCAGGTCCTGTCCCCAGTGCACCATCCTCCCACCAGCCCCACTGCCCAAAGGCAAGTCAGCCACGGGTTCTTCAGTGACAAAGGCAGCTTTTCCGTGATCTGGTCACCTTCCAAAAGTCCAGCTTCTTACCACATAAGGCTTGGGGGCAGGGATAGTCTCTACCTAACCAGTAACAGAGCTTAAGGTGAAGCCCAGTGCAAATCAATCGCAAGCTTCCAAGTAAGCTGTGAAGGCCACACTTGAAGCTTCTAGTGTGGAATCGCGGCAACACAGCCAAGTGCGGCGTGTGCCCATGAGACTCGGTGCTCACATGTTTCCTGGGCTGAGCGCCCAGGCCCCCCTGCACGCTCTCCTTCAAAGTCCTAGCACGGAGGCATTCAGCATCACCACACTGCAGCGCTCCAGGCACACACCCCTCAGCGAGGGACAGTGGGCACACTCCTGAAGCTGGGTTCCCAGGTGCCAGCCACGTCCCCCTGGGAAAGCAGGCATTTCTGAGGGTAACAATCTCAGGTCTGCTACGTTAGCTCTTTTCTGCACAAATTATTTAAGCTTCACACAAAGAAACGAAAGTTCAGTTAACTTAAATGTGTCCAAGTTAGGCAATCAGATTTTAGTCCTCTATTTAAACCATGATGAAAGGTTAAGTGATTATCGACTGACTGTCTGACTAATTTGTACTGGGAGTGAACCCAACATTCAAAGCACACACGTTACCTCCGAGCTGCACTGCAGCCAAGCTGGCTGCCTGATTTTTAAGGTTTCCTAAAATCGAAGAAAAAAGGACCCAACAGACTCAAGTTGGAGAAAAATTACAAAGGCAAGTAGAAGAAAAGACTATGACTGTAAAAACAGATTGTAAAATGAGTAATAAAGTAGTTATAAATAATGGACACTCAATCAAAATAAATCACAGGCTAAACAATTTTACAAATACTATTTATAAACCTTTAATATTTAAGAACAAATTTACCAGCCTATTAGCAATTTTAATATTTTAAGAAGATTAGAGAAAGCTAAAGGTTTAGCCAATCAGCACAACTGAGGGATTAAGAGATTTACTCTTACCTTCGTGGGAAATTGTCAAAAAAAACCAAAAAAAACAAAAAACCCCAAAAAACCCAGCACAGGTATGTGTTACAACAGTGGGTGGCCTGCCTGTTGGGGTGGGTTTTGTTTTTTTCTTTACCTAACGGAGTGGTGTCCTGAGGTATAATCCAGTTTTCCAAATTTCTGTGTTCGGTAACCATGCTTTTCCATGACGTCCATCCATGTTGTATAATTTGGGTCTAAACCCTTAAAATTATTCCAAGATTGTGTTAGGTGAGTGAAGAGGCCACTCCACATTGCTGAGAAGAAAAAGAAATTGAGGTTAAAGTAAAGCTTAATCATTTGTTTTAACTATTAACGCAACCACTCTGAGACAACAGTTTGGTAGTTTAGAGCACCTGATTAGATGTTTGCGACAGTTAATCTTGATGGTTGACATGACTGGATTAGGAGAGACCTAGCAGATTTGGAAAGCACACTTCTGAGTGTAGCTGGGTGGAAAGGGGTTATGACCACGGGGCCATATGTGGGTCCCATCCGTCTCGATCCTGGGGCTCCTCCCAGACCATGAGGAAGTGGGCACCCTGCTCCAGCAGCCATTGCCCATGAGCCTTCTGCCCCAACGTCAGCTGACCACAGACTGAGATCTTGGAAGCTGAGCTCAAATACAGCTTTCCCTCTCTGAGTTGTGGGTATCAGATAGTTTTGCCCCACGACAGATGAGCTGAAGAGCACAGTGCTGATTTAGCAGACATTTCTAACTGCTACCTCACTCCAGAAGAGGGAAACCTCTGCAGCGAGTCACTTTTACAGAGTTAGCTGACCAAGGATGATTGGGTAAGTTACTTAAGGTAAACAAAGCTGGAATTAGATATAAGCCTGAGTGGCTTCAAAGTCTTTTTTTCTTCACAAAACCAATCTCTAAGTACTTATTGGTTAATGTTCTAACTCATAAATCATTCAATTAAAGCATAGACCTCCTTTCCCCAGCATTCTCAGGCATATCCTCCTATTCCTTGCCTTTTTACTCTTCTTTTTTCATGAAAAACTTAAAAAAAATTTTTTTTAAACATTGCTACACAGCTTAGACAAGTAGTGACTCTCCTGTCTCAGCCTACACAGCTCTGGGATTACACGCATGTGCCGCCACATCTGGCTTTGGTGGCCAGCTTGGTGCAGGGCTGGCATGGCATGCGGTACCAGGGATCAAACCCAGTCCTTGCATGTTCCAGGCAGGCGCTTAGACTGCCAAGCTATCTCCCCAACCCCTCATGAAAATTGTAAGTGCAGTATGTCTTTCCTTTCTGATTTTTATTTCAAAATAATGCTCTCCTTTTTCCCATTTCCATGTACATATATAGTAAATTACAATAAGCTTTCTCTTTTCATCTAACAAAATGCTGAGTGGTGGGATAAGGAATTACCTGGGTGAGAATCCCAGTAACAGCAGTTCTGAGTGGCCTTTGTTAAGTTACCTTTTGTGTACTTTAGTTTTCATCCACAAAATGGGGTTAACTATAGGATCTATCATATGGAACTGTTATGGGGAGTATATAAATGAATACATGCAATGGCTTAGAATACTGCCACTTAGAATGTGAGGTATGTTCATGTCTATTACTGTTATTCCATCTTTTTGTTCAAACTCTTCAAAATATACCTCTTCCAGGACATGCATGACCTAACCTTTTTTTTTTTTTTTTTTCTGGCAGAACCAGGGATTGAACTCAGGCCCTTGCACTTGCCAGGGAAGTGCTATTCTACTGACCCATCTCCCTGGCCCCTAACCTAACATTTCTGAGATATTTAGAGCTCACTGACCATGCTTTTATTTATTATTTCGACTGATGCTGTGTGTGCTGGGAGGGGCATGGTGTTCTGTAGACAAGTCCACTGAGTGCTTATTTGACACAGTCCACTGAGGAGTAGACCTCGGACCTTCACCCCCCTAACCCAGTACTCATTCCACTCAGCACTGGATAAAAGTGTAATACGTTTTTAAAAGTACTTGGTTCTACTTCAGTGAAATACTGATAGAGTTTATGTTTTAATGTAGTTTAGGGCTGGGAGATAGCTCTGCGGTCTAACCGCACTAGCACCCAAGTATGATCCTCAGTACTGCACGAGGTGCAGGCCATTGAAACCAGGCATGGTGGTGGCGGCCTGTAATCCTAGTGCTGGGGAGGCTGAGACAGGGGGATCATTATAAGTCTGGGCTGCGTAGTGGTACCCTGTACCAAATATATTTAAAAATAAAGATTAAAAAAATATAACATAGTTTAGATTTCCTTTACCGATGAGTGACTCCATGGCCTACAGAAGATATAAGTGAAAAACTTACAACTCAAACCCCAGAACATCAACTCAGTAGGTTACAGACAAACCAAATTGTTTAGTGTTGTTTACAGGCTTTAGTGGAGGTGAGAAGGGCACACAGAAAGGGGAAAGCACCTGTCAGACAGCAGACGGGATCTATAAGCCCGCCAGTTTCTCCCTTTATCATTCATGGCTTACTTTCACTTTGCCATTAGAATGATGTCTTCATTAAATCAGGGAGCAATTAGATTCATGCTAAAAATGAGCTGAGCTTGAAGATAAAGTATATAAGCTGAAATAATATGTAAAAATTCACTCTTTTTTTTCTATATTTTAAGGAAGCATCTACAGGGTGTTCAGGGTCTCACTACTAAATCAGACTCATGGTGATCTGCCTATTTACTGCCTCCCAAGAGCTGGGATTACAGGTGCGCCACCGCACCCAGTCTCAATCACTGTCTCGGTGTGCCCAGGGGGCGGGGCCAGCACAGCAGTCCTGGGGATTGAACCCCTGGCCCTTGCACTTGCTTGCAGGCTCTTTAATCTGCTGAGCTATTTGGCCAGCCCTAAAAATTCAGTCCTGAATTTTAAGGTCCACAGAAGCCTTCCTTATACTTGTGCTAAACGTTTCCTTGGGAATAGAGCTGGTCTAGGAAATGTAATTATTTCCTCATGTGTTTCAATAGTCAAAAGATTCTTACTCACCAATTATAAGGAAGTGAAACAGTAACATATGAACTAGACAGTAATAAAAATTCCTTCTCCTCAAAAACTAGCAATCTTAGAACTGGCCAAACAGCTCAGTGGATTAAAACACCTGCAAGCAGGCTCAGGGGCCGGGGTGTAGCGGCCTGGGTTCAATCTCTGGGCCTGCTTTGCAGGCCCCACACCTGGAGTGTACTGAGATGGCAATTGAGACTGGGCGTGGTGGCACACCTGTAATCCCAGCATTTGGGAAGCTGTAAACAGGTGGATCACTATGAGTCTGATCTAGTAGTGTGAACACCCTGTAGACCTTTTCCATAAAATACAAAAAATAAAAAAAAACCCTGGAAATCCCATTACCTCAATATCTAATATGCACTTGACACCACATGTTTTATATTATGAATTCAGGTTTTAAATAAATCTTTTCTAGCTTGCTTTTGGGTGTAATTTTCTAAACTGTGAATGCATTTCCAGTGTGATCCCTAAGCACGTTTATACCTGCGCGTGACGGGCAGCAGATCGGAGAGTTTGTGTAGGCATTCAGAAAGGAAGTGCCGTGTGTTCTCATGAAGTTGATAAAAGGAAGTTTCACCACTTGACTTCCTGGATGAAATGTTAGCCTTCCATCCTGGAATAAAGAAATTTCATTAATACTGACTGCCCCACAAGACAAGAAAATTAATTTCTTTAGTTTTAACCTTAAAATTCACACTAGCAGCAGACTCCAATATGGCTTCATGACAGAAGTATAGGCTGTTAGCCAGACCTAGTGCTTAGACACAGACTTCAGCAGTGTGACACTTGCATTCAGTTCAACACAGTAAATAAATTAAAGGGCTTCTGCAAAGTCCTTTTGGGGAATGAAGGACCCACTCTACACATCGTTAATGAGTATGCACTGTGTGTTAGGCATTATGCAAGATCTGAGGTACAATGGTGAATGAAATAAAGTCCTGCTCCCAAGAAGCCTGCAGTACGGTCAGGGAGGGAAAAGTATATGGTAAATAAACCATGAACAGTTACAGTAAGTGCTTCAAAAAATCTGATATGCAATGATTTTTTTTTTTAAATCTTTTATGTATTTGGTACAGGGTCTCACTCTGCAGCTCGGACTCGTAGTGATCCTCCTGTCTCAGCCTCCCCACTGCCGGACTTACAGGTATTTCAATGGCCTGCAGGGCACGCCCAGGATTCTGGGGCAGGCGAGGCATGTGGTACCAGGGATCTTTGTCCTTGCCAGGCAGGTGCTCAGACCCCGAGCTATCTCTCCTGCCTGGTAACTGTTACTTGCTCCTTCCTGAGCCATGCTGAACTAACTGAGCCATGACTTCGTTGCTGCTCAGGATTCTCAGCCAGGGAGGTACACAGCTGTTTTGATTTCAATGCATCATCTTCGTGAAAGCATGCAACAGTCACTGTCATATCTGCTATGGCAGGACTGCTAGCAGTGTCCTTCCTAGTTCTGAGTCAGACAGTACACTCTCTAGAGATCCTGCTTGTACACCCCTGTCCCTATCTCTACCCTAAAACCCCAACACCAAAGCCAGTGTGTGGGTGCAGTATGGGGGGGTAGGCAGTTGCAGAGTGGGGGTTCAGAGAATGCCTCTGTACCGTAAGACTCCTTAGTATTTCTTTTTAAAATAAGTTTTTTAAAAATTATTTATTTTTTAATGTATTTGGTACAGGGACTCACTATGCAGCTTCGATTCATAGTGATACTACTGTTTTCAGCCTCCCCAGTGCAGGGATTACAGGTGTATGCCACCATGCCCTGTCTCGGTGGGCTGGCTCAGCCCAACTGGGGGTAGGGGTGGTGGTGGTGGTAGGACAGCATGGCAGAGATTAAATCCTGGTCCCTGTGTTTGCCCTAGCAGGTGCCTAATTCGCTGAGCTATTCACTGGCCTGTGTTTCTTTTCTTTTCTTTTTTTTTAAACCGGGTTTATCATGGTATAATTCACATAAAACCTCCTCATTCGAGGTGTATGATTTAGTGGTTTTTAGTGTATTCAAAAAGTTGGGCACACATCACCACAACTGTAGAATCTTATCACCATCTCCAAAGGAAATGCTGCATTCCTTAGCCATAATCCTCTGTTCCCCCAAATTCAGTAAAACCACTGATCCTTCTGTCTGTATATATTTGCTTTCTCTGAACATTGCATATAAATGAAATCTTACAAAAATGTGGTCATTTATGCCTAGCTTCTTTTACTTAGCACAAAGTTTTCTAAGTTTCAGCCACACCCCAGGGTCAACTTTCCCTCCCTTTTCTGCCCCTTTCAATTTTTCTGTCCCTCCCTCTTTCTTGTGCTGAGTGTTGAATCCAGGATTTCATACACCTTAGGCAAGTGCCATAACACAGAGCCACACCTGCAGCTCTGCACTTGTGTTTTAAATTTTATTTTTAAAAGAGAGTACAAAGTAGTATTAAAACAGAAAAATTACGAATGATACAGAATTTCCCTAAACAAAATATCAACTTCACAGTGTTTGTTGTATTGCATACTGTTCTCCCCAAATGAGTTAGTTGTTCATGTTATCAGATATGTGCATGCAAAATTGGAAGAAGGAAGAAAAAAAGGAAAAAAATGTATAAGAAAATGAGACAAAAAGGAAAAAGAATTGGAAAAAGAAGACAAAACAAATTACATTGAGGATTAACAGTTCCTTTCTATAGACCAGCAGAATGCATTTCTTTTTTATTGCTAAGTATACCAAATTTCATCCATTTATCAGGTGACTTTTAAAATTTTTTTTCGCATTACTGGGGATTGAACTCAGGGCCTTGCGCTTGCCAGGCAAGCGCTTATTCTACTGAGCTATCTCCCCAGACCTATATCAGGTGAATTGGCTATTTCCACTTTTCACTTATTAACACAACACTGCTAGGAACATTCATGCACAAGTGTTTGCGTGGAGTCTATCTTCTCCTTGGCTACGTATGAGTACAACTGGACCAAGGGGTAACTCCATGGCCACCGAGAGTCTAGGGGACCTGCCAAGGTCTTTTCCAGGGTGGCTGCACCATTTTACATTCCTACCGGCAGGGTACAAGAGTGTACAATTCCTCTATATTCGCCACCACTCTAGTTACTGACTTCTACCATAACCTAGTTACTATCTTTCCATCTTTTTTTTTTTATCATACCTTACTTACTATCTGTCTCAGTTACTCTTCTCTCGTTGCTGGGATAAATACCCGACACTCAAAACACAGGAAGAAAAGTTTATTTAGCTCACAGTCTGTGGAGGTTTCAGTCCATACTCAGCTGGCTCCAAGACAAAGCGGCACATGGCAGAGAGCAACCTTTCAAGGGGGCAGCAAACAGCAAGAGCCAAGGGAGAAGCAGCAGCAACAATGGCTACAGAGAGCAACTCTGTCTCCCTTCAGATGCATTCACGCTAGCTGCCTCAGGCTGGGACTAGTACTCACACCATAATCTCAGTAGATCATAGTACTCACACCATAATCCCAGTAGATCATGAGTTAATCACAAGCTCTAGAAATCTGCCCCATCACTGCATTAGGCTTTGGGGGGACAACTAGACACAAGCCATAATACTATCTTGTCATTTTTTTTTTTTTTATCATAACCTAGTTACTATCCTTTTATCCTAACCATCCTTGTGCGTATGAACTGGTATCACATTGTGGTTTGACTTACATTTCCCTGATGAGTAAAGTCACTGAGCATCTTTCCGCGTGCTTATTGAGACAAATGTCTAATCAGATCTCTTGTCCATTTTTAAAGATGTTAACCCAAGATTATGGAGGTTTGCACAGTGGCTTCGTGTAAGCATTTTATAATTGTAGCTTTTAACATTTGATTAATTGATTTAAACTAATTTTTTTTCTGTGGTGGAAGGCAGGGTCTAACTTCAGTACTTTTCATGTGGTTACTTAATTTTCATATAACCATTTTTAAAACAATTATTCTTGCTAAGCATAGTGGCACACAGCTGTATGCATGAACTCAGAAGGCTGAACCAGGAGGAACACCTTGAATTTGAGTCCAGCCTGGGCTCCACGGTGAGATCAACACAAGCCCGAACTGCATAGCAAGACCCTAGTTAAAGAAGAAAGATTATTCTTTTCCTATTAAATGGTCATAACACCCTTTTACAAATCGATTTATTATGGGAATTTACTTTCACATCTATTTCACTCATCTGTAAATCTAACCCATCTTTTTGTCAGCAATACACTATCTTGATTTTTGTACCTTAAAATATATTTCAATGACCTATGTATCAATGTATTTTTATTCTAGTAACTGGCTATCTTGATTATTTATGTCACAAGCCTTGAAATTAGGCAATACTTAGACTTCAATAGTACTACAAAGACAAAATATGCAATGTATTAATTATCGTAGCTGTCCTACTAACCTGTTTTGAAACTATCTCATTGCTACTTCTCAATAAAATTAATATAAAAATACTTAGACTTCTAATGTTTTTTTTCTCAAGAATTTTATTTATTTTTGCTATCTTGAGTCTTTGGAATTTCCATATGGGTTTTAGAATGGGTCTTTCTATTTCTGCAAAAAAAAATTCAGAGTTTGTCAGGGACTGCAGTGATCAATTTGGTTGGTATTGCTACATTTGTAATATTAAATCTTTTTTTTTTAAATCTTTTAATCCACGAAAATAGATGGCTTACCGTTTTTTTGGAGGTGCTTTTAAATTTCTTTCAACATTTTATAGTTTTCAGTGGCACTTCTGTGGTATATGTATGCCTGATTACTTTATCCCATTTGATGCCACTTTGAGTAGATCTGCTTTCTTTTGTTCTTTTTTTTTTGTTGTTGTTGTTGTACTGGGAATTGAACCCACAGCTTTGTGCATGCTAGGCAAACACTCTACCAAGGGGCCATATCCCCAGCCTTAGATCTGCTTTCTTAATTTTAAGTTTTTTCATCAATTAAGTATGCAGGAATTTAGTTGACTTTGTGTATTGATCTTCTATTCTACAATTTTGTTGATTTACAGATTGCTGTAAATGCAAATGCTGCTCCTTTCCTATAGGGAGCCTTCAATTTCACGCTGTTGTCTGGGTAGAACCTCCAGCACAGTGCTGAACAGCAGTGGTGAGAACAATCTTTGTCTCATTTGTGATCTTAGAACATCTTCAGTCTTCTAGCATCAGTAAAAGATTAGCTGTCTGTCTGTCTGTCTGTCTTTCTTTCTTTCTTTCTTTTTCCTGTAAATACTTTTTACCAGGTAGAGAAAGTTCCCTTCTATTTCTACTTGGATGAGTGCTTTGATCATGAAGAGCTATTGAATTTTGTCAAATGCAGAATGTATCTATGGGATGAAAGTGCATCAGTTGAGTTGATCACAAGTGTTTTGTTTTTTATCCAGTTAACACGGTGTATCACTATAACTGACTTGCAGATATGAAATCAACTTAATTTGTGGGTAAATACACTTAGGCATACAGTATAGTTTTTACATAATGATAATTTTATTGGCTATTTGTTAAGGATCGTTGCTTTTATATTTCTAAAAGATTATACATGTGTGTGTGTGTGTGTGTGTGTGTGTGTGTATTTGTCCACTTTGAAGTTAGGCACACGGTTCCAGTAGAACAAGCCTGAAAGTGTTTTCCTGTTCTATATTTTGGAAGAGTTTATGAGGAATCATTGTTCTTTAAATGTTTGACAAAATTTGTCAGTGAACCATCTGGGTCTGACTTTTGTGGGGTAGTCTTTAAATTACCATAGGCTACTTACTTCTTTTTCTTTCTTTCTTTTTTTGTGTGTTCTTGAGACAGGGTCTCCCTATGCAGTTCAGGCTGGCCTTGAGCTCACTCTGTAGCCCAGGCTGGTCTTGAAGTTGCAACCATTCTCCTACCTCAGCCTGCAGAGTGCTGGGATTAGAGGTGTGCGACACCAAACCCAACTCAGACTACCTATTTCCTTTTGAGTCAGCTTCAGGAGTATGTGTCTTTCTAGGAATTTTTTTCATTTCATCTACATTACTTAACTGTTAGTATACCTCTGTCATATACTATCTAAAACACTATCATTCTTACCTTAAAATTCTCTTATTTCTGGAAGGTAATGTTCCCTCTTTTCTTCCTGATTTGGGTAATGCACATTGTTGTTTTCTTCTTGGTTTTGTAGTGAAAGGTCATTTAAAAATATCTTTTTAAAGAATCAACTTTCGGTTTCATTGATTTTTCTCTACTTCCTTAGTTTCTGCTGTAGCCCTTATTATTTCCTTCCTCTGCCCTAGAGAGTCTGGAGCGAGGGTGCCAGGACCTTCGTATTCTCAGCCCCTTCCCACTGCACAGTCTTACAAGGTGGAACAGTGGCCAAAGGGAGCTCCCCACATCTATTACAAGCTGCTTTTACTTGAAACTTAGCCTGTCCAGCTTGGATCTGCAGACAGAAATGCTGGCAGCTGCCCCTTCTGGAGAGAAATACTAATGAATGATGGAGAACTGAGAGCAAAGGCAGCCCTGTCTCTCAGCTCCCTCTGTCTGGAGCAAAGCTGTGTGGAGTTAATCATTAATCAACGGTTCACTGTCACGGACCATTGCTGTTCATACCAAGTTTTAGTGGATTACATCCTCCTCCTCCCTCTCCCCTTCCATCTCCTTTGTTGGTGTCATTGGAGATTGAACCCAAGACCTTTGCACTGAGCTACATCCCAGCTCTATATAGTTTCTTACTTTGAGATGGGGTCTGGCTGAGTCGTTTTGGCTGGGCTCAAACTTGTGGCGCTCGTGCCGCGCCCTCCTGGAGTGCTGGGGTGCCAGGTGTGGTGCACCAGGTGTGGCTAGCAGATGCACTGTGCACATGCCTTTGGGCAGCTGCTAGACAGCTCAAATGCTCTAAATGCTGTTTAATAGTTTTCAACATCAACTCTCATTAAAAGTCTTATTTACTTAAGTTTTAAAAGATCTTCTTAACTAGAGTTTTGCATGCTTTTGGATCTTGTGAGCTCCTCACATTGCCATGCTGAAAATAAAACTAATGTGTTATTTTCTTTTTCTTTTTTTTATTGCAGAACCAGGGATTGAACTCAGACCCTTGTGCAGCACTTATTCCATTGAGTCATCTCCCTGGCCCCTTCTTTTCTTTTCTTTTTCCCCTTATTTTCTTAACACAATTATTTATAGCTCAACTGTCCTATCTTAGCCTTTAGAATTCTAGAAATAATAAATCAGATTATCAAGACTCTAACTTTATACCAAATTGATTAGAACATAGCCATAAAGAAAAGAGCTATTTCAAATTAGTTTAAAGGACAGTGTTTTGGTTGTATAGTAGAATGCATCTAAAATAAAAAAGAATTAGAAAGAAATTTTAAACTGCTTTCAGTTTAAAATAATATATTAAAATAAAATTACCACCTTATTTTCATATATGTTCTCATACTCTTAAACTTGAAGTAAAACAATTCCTTTTTCTTTATTGCTTTTAGACCTTTCCCACTGACAGATGTAGAAAACACAAGGAAGAGGAAAGTAAATTGTGAGATCAAATATAATTTCAATTCAAATTAAGATTACATATATGTTTTCTCTGGAATATGAGGGAGCAGGTAGAATTCTGTGAGTAACACACTTAAGGCAGCACTAACAGGATTACCATACATGGGTAAAAAATAAAGATAACTCTCTTCACTTCTCATGCAAATATTAATTCCTGCAAACTTAGGTAAACTTGTGAGTGACTTGGGGAAAGTTAATACTCCCACGAATTTGCAGAGTGTTATTTCCACCAACTGAATCAAAGTAGAGAGTGTGGACGAAAAATTTATTGAGAGGGCTAAAATAATTCAGTGGGTTGAGAAGAGCATTTTTAATAAATGATTTGTGGATAAGCATCCTTCTGCAGTGTTGGGAGAAGCATAAAGCAGCGCAGCCCGTATGGAAATCAGTGTAGAGCTTGCTCAAAAACGTATAAGTAGAGCTATCAGACGACCCAGCCTACCACTCCTTAGCATATACACAGAGGAATTAAAGTCGGCACCCTTTGGGGACATCTGCACACCCAGGCTTAGTGTGGTATAATTCACCATAACCAAGGCATGGAAGCAGCCTACGTGCCCACCAAGGGACGAGGAGACAATGGAAATGTAGTCTGTCTGTCTGCCACTGTCTCTGTGTGTGAAGCATAAACTTATTATTTGCAGGAAAATGAATTAGGCCAAAATCATAATGTTAAACAGAACAAGCCACAGGCACATGTCATGTTTTCCTTATCTGCACTATCTAAAAAAAAAAAAAAAGTGATATGAAAGCAGAAAGGGGACCACTATTGGCAAAGAAGAAAGGAAGGAGAAAAGGTGATAAGGGAAGGCAGTGAGGAACGGATATGGTGGAATTACGTGCATGGATGAAAATACTACATTCAAACTCAGTATGCTCAAAATTAATATGCACGAATAAAATGTAAAGAAGTACATTTTAAACGTGAAAGATTTGCAGGGCTGCGACCCGAGTGCATTGCACTGGCTAACGTGCTGCTGTTGCCTACGCAGGTGGTGTAGGTGTGCGCGTTGTGTGCCTCTTACTAGTCCCTAACCGCAGTCGGGGAAAGCCCCGAGCGGCCGCGGTCCCCGCAGCTCCCACGCGTCGCCAGCCCGGCCCGCGCCCAGGACTTACGAAGGCGTCGCTCGCGACCAGCACCACGTTGGGCGCCTGGGCCGCGCGCAGCCTCTGCCCCTCTGTCCTAGGGGCCGGCGCAGCCACCGCCGAGGCCGCGATCGTCCACATCCACAGCAGCAGCATCGCGGGTAGCAGCTCGGAGAGCTGGCCCCTGGGCCCGCCTCCTCTTTAATGCTCTCCAGCTGTGAGCAGGGTGGAGCCATCAAGTGACTTCTCCCACAGCTGGAAGTTTGTTTTCCAACGAATGCACCGTACCGCCGAGCCTCAACACCGGAACTACAACTCCCAGTAGGCTAAGCGCGAGCATGAGCCCTGAGGACGTATCCGCACCCAGCCTTAACCACGACGAGTCTTTTCAATCGAATACCGAGTACTGTACACTAAGTCCGGCCCCTTCCAGTCACGTGGGCGGGGCCGTGGGAAACGCGCAGGCGCTTTAGCTTCAGCCTTGGAGATCGCAGTCCACCAGGATTCGTCCCAGGTGGGTTTGGGCGGCTGTGGGTTTTGCACAAGTTGTAGCGTCAAGGCAGTTGAAATGATACTTTGAGAGCGAGCGGATCGAGGTGGATCGGGGCTGTTTGTTTTGCGTTGGAGCACGCGTGGCTGAGCGTCAGGCGAGAGCGGCGAACTGGGCAGTGATGAGGTGGCGGCGCGGCTGTCACAGCAGTTGGGTGGGATGTGCCTGTAGGGCCGCGAGGGTGCTCCCCGAGCACCGCAGCCTGCCCGGGGTTGCCTCTCGGCGCTTGGGCGGCGAGGACGCACCGTGCTCCCGCGGGTGCTGAGCTCGGCCTAGCGGGACGGCTCAGGCTCCAGGCTGGGGGACGCGTAACCAGGTCCTTGCGTCGCAAAAACGCCCTGGAACAGGGTGATCTCAGAGGAGGAAAGGTTCCCGTGCCGCGGTCAGCGAACTGACGGAGGTTTCGAACGCTGCGGTTAGGTTGTAGGACAATCGGGGGCCCTTCGGCTGCTGAGCCCTTTGGGAGAATTCTGGACGAAGCCGATTTCTGACTGAAAGCCAGCTTCTTCCCTTTCAGGGGTGTCATTTCAACCTCACATTAGTCGTTTTTAATATGGACCGAGAAAGGATGAGGTGTACTATTCATTTTAAAGAATCAACCTGATACTGATATCTGAGAGATTGTGATTTGAAATATATATATATATATAT